AAGACCACAAGTTAAAGTGTATCCTAGACTACACAGTGAGAACTTGTCTCACACAAACAAGTAAACAAACCAACAAAAAAATTAAACTACAACAATTAAGTTATAGCCATTGTTTGGTAGTTTATATAGGTACCTACCAAAGGTAAAATTCCCAGGCTATCCACAGGAAAAGAAGTTTCAATATACACTCAATATCATGCCTTCCAGTGTACAGGCTAAGTTCAGAATATTCACGAATAATCCCACTTTTGCTGCTATCACACTGATGAAAACCCCTGCTACAGCTGAACTTTGAGAGTTGGGGCGGGGGTGGGGTGGAGGGATTCTTTTCTGCTGCGGCTCATTAAAACAGAGGAGATGGCATGAACCAAGAAAAGGGATCTGCTTTCTAATGAGGCTAAACCAGATGTACCCAATTTGGGGTATGGACTGAAAGGAGGGGAAGATTCATTCTGTCTATTTTACGTCTTGGAAAACTCGAGAGCAGAGCAAAACTGTACATATGCTAAAAAGTATGCAAGTAGGACACACAATTCCCAAAGAAATTATTTTTACTCATCAATTGAATGGCGCCCTTTCATAATGTAATGCACAGGGAAACAATTACGATATGAGAAGCACACTCCCACAAATTCAGAACCTTAGACACAAAACATAAGAACCATCTGTGCAGTTGGAATTTCTTGAATTGACAACTCCCAAATAATGACACAGAGACTTCTTATTAAGTATGAAAGCTTGGCGTTAGTTTAGGCTTGCTCCCACCTAGCTCTTAAAACTTAAATCAACCCATTTATATTGATCTACACTCGACCACATGGCTTGTTTCCTCTCCTCTCTGTAGTACGTCCTACTTCCTCTGTGTCTGGCTGGTTGGCCAATGCCTGCCTCCCAGAGTCTTTGCCTGAGTAACCCCCTCCTACCCCTGAAGTCCCACCTATCCTCTCCTGCCTAGCCATTGGCTGTTCAGTTCTTTATTAAACAAATCAGCAGGTGCCTTGGCAGAGACACATCTTCATAGTGTACAAAAAGATATCCCACAATACATCTGAATTATCACAGACTACTTGTAGCATCAGGAGCAAAAATGTCAGCACGAACACGGGCACAGACCAACAACATAATAGAAAACAATCATAACCAGGAACTCCATAGAATATAGCTCAGCGAAAAATCACGTTCTAAAGCATCTTGGTATTTGGTTCTACCGAGCAAAGCTATACTCTAACTTCCATAATCTATTTTTCTTTTTACATTTGGTGGTTATAAAGAAATTTGGCAAGGAAGTAGTTGAAGAAAGCAAAATTTCATACATAGGATATGTGAAACGCAAATGAATATTATCGCTCAAAGTTTCTGAATTAGTAATGTATATAGAATTTAATTCTTTTATTTATTCTGTTTTGGAATGACTACATTCTTAGGCTATTGGTTCCCAGGCTTAATTTTTGGGGCCAGTAAAAATTCCCAGAGCACTTGAAAGAACCCCCAGAGTTGCCAAACTATTCGTTTTGCCAACAATAACAATAACAAAAGGCCACCATTTCAGAAAGGAAAGGATATTTCAACACCAAAAAAAGGGAAGTTCCTAATTTCAAAACAAAAGAGAGTTCTTCCCAAGAAATATGTTTGTTAACCACAGAGAACTCAAAAAAAAATCTTTATAGTTTCATACTAATATAGAAACATTTACAACACAAATTGCATTTAATAACACAGACTATGTTACATTTCCTTGGTATAAATGTCCCCTTAATTTTATAGTACAGTGTGCATTTGAGCTATAGTACACTGGAATTTGAGCCTACATAGATCTAAAGTGCAGCTTGTCCTGATGTTTCAGTCTTATCTGTCTCGGGGCCTGGGAAGATGTCTCAGGGGTGAGGTGCCTGCTACCCAGCCTCTGGACATGAAAGAGAAAAAGAGACTGGGGAGGGAGGGGGGGTACACAGGGGATTAGAGTAACAGAGGGGTGGGGAAGGAGGATGCATGAAAACACGTTTTGTTCAAAAATACTATCATGACATCTAATAGTTTGTATGTTAGTTTAAAAATAAAAAATAGCTGGATGTGGTGGTGCACGTCTTTAATCCCAGCACTCTGGAGTCAGAGGCAGGGTTGGATCTCTATGAGTTCAAAACCAGCCTAGTCTACAGAGTGAATTCCATTCCACCTAAGGCTACATCGTGACACCTTGCCTCAGCAATAAATAAATAAGTAAAGTAAAATATTAATAAAGAAATAATTTTAAAACATGGAGATTAATTGAGGAAGCCATTCAATATTGACATGATGCATGCATCTGCCCAAATGTGCTCACTCTTGTACATATACATGTGCACAAGTGAAAGAAAAATTCTGTTTCATATTAGATCTGAGCAAGAGTGAAAATACTAGTCTTGACACTGTGTATAGGGTTAATGCTCTAATTACTGAACTATGAGCAAACCTTGACTGTTTTAATACATCTGAAACAGGCACTAAGACACTAAGGGACAACATGCCCCCAAGCCTTTCTCTTTACTCAACAGATAGGAAGGTAAGCAGGCCGGAAAACAAGCCCACAGCTCCCCCAGAAGTCCCACTGTTGTTTCTCACCTTCAAGACAACACCATGGGGATGTCCTCTCCTTCTAGAGGGAAGCTGGAAGTTTCTACAACAGGGGGTATGAAGCCAACTAAAGAACTTTCTCCCTAGTTGGACTTGATGGTACATGGCCAGTAATCCTAGCACCAGGGAGACAGAGGCAGGTTGATGGCATGTTCAAGGCCAGCCTGGGCGACATGGTGAGTTTCAGGCCAGCTTGGTATACACATCAAACCCTTGTCTTAAAATAAATAAAGTAACATAAAAAAAGTGAAAATTCTAAAGCTTCTCATCTAGTGGCCTAAGCATTAATAAATGTTTAGGCCACTAGATGAGAAAGATATGAAAAAGTATTTTATATATACAACTATATTTTAAATTTTACCATTCAGGGTTGTAAAGCAAGTCTCTCTACCCACTGAGCCATCTTACTGGTACAAAAGTGTATCTTAAAAAGTTAGAAATCATTTCTTGTCCACCTATCTACTTCGCTTAATTTCCTTCCTAGACCCCACTTGCTACACATACATACTCATAATATTTGTGGGTGTATCTCAGAGGTTTGGAATTTTTGACATCACCATGATCCTGGTGCATACAGACCAAAGCCAGGTTTACAAATAGGATCTGTATTCTGTGTTGGTGACTGAGTAATCACAGGTAACTGTTTAAGGGTAGCAGAAAGAACACCTCTGCTTCCAAATACCTGCCGTATTTTCAGATTGGTTTTAAAAATACACGTTTAACAGAGAAGGGTAGCAAGAAAAGAAATGGAGCTATTATAGGTTTAATGAGAAACTGGGCACTAGGGAAATCTCCAGGGATCCACAAGGATGACCCCAGCTAAGAATCTAAGCAATCGTGGAGATGCTACCTTAAATGCCCTTCCCCTATAATGAGATTGATGAGTACCTTAAATGTCATCATAGAGCCTTCATCCAGTAGCTGATGGAAGCAGAAGCAGAGATTCACAGCTAGGCACTGAGTCAAACTCCTGTAATCCAGTTGTAGAGAGGGAGGAATGATGAGCAAAGGGGTCAAGACCATGATGGGAAAACCCACAGAAACAGTTGACCTGATCAAGTGGGAACTCACGGACCCCAGAATGACAGCTGGGGAACCAGCATAGGACAGAACCCTATGGAGGGATACTCTCTCAGCCTAGATATAGGGGGGAGGGCCTAGATCCTTCTACAAATAAAGTGACAGACTTTGATGATTCTCCATGGGAGGTCTCACCCTCCCTGAGGAGTGAATTGGGGGGTGGGATGGAGAGGTGGAGGGGGGGAATGGGTGGACAGGAGGGAGAGGGAACAAGGATTGATATGTAAAATAAGATTGTTTCTAATTTAAATAAAAATTAATTTTAAAAATAAAAAAGCTAGAAATCATTAGCTAAATATAGTAATGAAAGACACCACTCAAAGCAAGTTAGTATATATCTTGGGGCACTCTCTTGCTATAACTGGATATTGCAGACAAGGCTACTTGATAAAAAATAAAGGTCTGTTTGACTCATTGCTTGGAGACTGTGGCCCCAGGCAGGAGGCTGGGATATGGGAAGGCCCTCTTGCGGCATCCTGCTGTGGTGGAGATTGTCACAGGGTCAGATAGATCAAGCCTGCTAACTCAGAACTCTCCCTTTACAGTTCTGTTCTGCTGTCCCAGGGGCCTCACCTCACAAGCTCATGCAGTAGGAATTACTTCCCAAAGGACCCATGTGGGCGTTAAGCTTCTAAGATTTGGACTGTGAGGAGATACATTCAGTCCACACCAATATGTTTGGTCTCTAATGTGTAGAAATTAGTTACTCTGATTGTATCTATACAAGGCGTACACATTAATCTACATAGCACATTTCTTCGTTGTCGGGGAAGTCCTGTGTATTTGTCAATAAAGCACTGTTGGCCAATAGCGAAGTAAGATAGGTGGGACTAGGAGTCGAGGAGGACTCTGGGTAGGAGAAACACAGGGGAGTCAAGATGTAACGCCATGGGGTAGGAAGCCCGGAAAGTTCTCCGGTAAGAGAAATACTTAGATTAACAATTATGGGGTAATTACTTAAGTCAGAGCTAGCCAGTAAGAAACAAGCAAGGCCAACAGCTTCATAATTAATATAGCCTTCTGTGTGTTTATTTGGGACTGATGCGGCTCTGGAACCAGGCTGGCGGGAAGGCTTCTCCTTACACTTCGTTAGTTGTAGAAGATAAAAAAACACACAGTATACATACATACATACACACACACACATACACACATATGCCACAAATACACACAGCATACACAGGCACACACACATCTCTCTCACACACACACACCACACATACATCACACATGCTTACACACCACACACACACACACACACACACACACACACACCGGAGAAGAGCAGCCATACAATGAAATGCACTCACACATTTCAGATTGGGTTTGGGTCCGGTTCAGTTCACATTGCTGTCCCACTGGTTTCATCTTTCTCCTTTGGTCTCTTTCCACCTCTTCCATGTGTTGTGACAGGTGAAGTTGTTCATGCAAAGTCATCTCATAAAAATACAGGAAGGCCACCTTTGCCTCCTTTCCTCCTGGCTGCAGAGCGTGTGAAGCCTGTTCAGCAGAGCACAGGGAGGAAGGAGTGGCGGGAGGGTTGTTTGGTTTGTGGGGAGGGAACTGGAATGCTGTCTGTCTGTCCCCTGCCCTCTCTGTCCAGGATCAGCTCTCCACCCCAATCCCCATGAGATCCAGCACTGGAGCACTTCAAGCTTCAGCCAGCACAAACATGGCCCAGCAAGGGGGACAGCAAGGGGAACCAGGATCACAATCAGCCTTTGCAATTCATTCAAGTACAGACTTTGTCCTCTATCTTTTATAGAAAGCTTTATTGTTACATCACAACCAAAGGAATTTCGCCTTTAACCTGCAGTTTCCCTATTCTCAATGTTAGGAAATCTTTTCTGATTAGAGGAATTTTTCATCCTTTCTCTCATTTCTGGAGGTGAGGCAAACTGCTGAGGTGTCTTTTGGAGCCTGATTCACGCCAACGAAAATAAAAGAAAGGGCTCTCCAGTAATATGACACACAAACAGAATCTCCTGGCATAACAATGCACAGAACACACAAAGGGATCAAGAGGTTTTTCTTTCTGTTTTTTTTGTTTTGTTTTGTTTTGTGTGTGTGTTTTATAATTCCCAATCTATTTAATTATTTTCTCATTATTTCCTTCTTCCATCTGCTCATAAAAGTTCTTTATTTAGTGTTTGGCAGTTTTGTATACTTATAAAGTGAATTTTCATCATTTGCTGTTGTTTGTTTTTTCAAGGCAGGGTTTCTCTGTGTAGCTTTGGAGGCTGTCCTGGAACTAACTCTGTAGACCAGGCTGGCTTTGAACTCACAGAGATTTGCCTGCCTCTGCCTCCAGAGTACTAGGATCAAAAGTGTGTGCCACCAATGCCTGGCAAACTGTCAACATTTTCATGCCCCATTCCTTACTCACATCTTTCCAACAATCTCTTTTCATACTTCAATGTCTCCAAACCTCAGGGAACATCACAAAATAGAGGACAGAAAGATTCTAACAGATGCTTATTTTTTAAAAAGACATAGGTCTCTCTTGCTTATGCTCCGCCCATGGAGGCCTACTGATTCCTTCACCTCCCTCTAAAAATCACAGTGAAAAGGCCTAAACCCTTTGTAACAGACTAAATGTTTGTGTTGCCTGCCATCTATGTTAGAATCCTAATATTCTACTTTAGGGAAGGCCTTTTAGAAGTCATTAAGTCAAGAGGATTCCCGCTTCATGAAGACCCTTATCAAAAAGCACAGAGCCATGCTTCTACCAAGGAATGCCAAGTGAGAGGAAGTGGTCTCTCACGAGATAGTGTGTCTACTGGGATATTAATCTCAGACTTCCCAGCCCTCTGAACTGGGAGAAACACGTTTTGGAGGGATTATTGCATTCTTACATGCATGTATACATACACGTGCCCCCATGTACATGTGAAGGTGAGGAAACTTCCGGGAGTCATTGCTCTCCGTCTACCACCCACTCTGAGGTGTTAAATTTAAGCTGTCAGGCTTGGTGGCAGGTGCCTTTATCCTCTGAGTCACCCAACAGACCCACAGGCAAGCCACCTGGTTCTTGGTGTTGTGAAGTGTGTGTGTGTGTGTGTGTGTGTGTGTGTGTGTGTGTGTGTGTGTGTTAACTCTGAGAGACTATGATACTCTCTCCACTGCTGAGTTCTACTGAAAGTTTGACAACCAGGATTTATGGGACCAGATGATCATATTGGGGCTGGACAGAGAAGAAAGGGGATAGAACAGAGAAAAAAGTCTCCCCACCACTCATGGAGGAGGGATCTCATACACCGATTTCACCGGTTTTTTGTCCCCCTGGGGACCCTAGTTCTCACTTAACTTATCAAATGAGATATGGCCGTAGCTGTGGGTATGTGTTTAAACTAAAGGTCCGGTTTTTGTTTTCTTTTTTTAATGCATGTACGCATGTGCACCTATTGTGCTGTGTGTGTGTGTGTGTGTGTGTTTGCTTGTGTTGTATACATGTGCATGTGGAGGCCAGAGGAGGCCTCAGAAACTCTTGAAAAAGAATGTGGCCTGAAACTCACCAATTAGACTAGGCTGGCTTGTCGTTAAGCCCCAGGAAGTCTCCCGTCTCTGCCACCTCATTGCTGGGATCACAGGTGCTTGCACCACCGTACTTAGAAATTTCCTGTTGGTCCCTGGAATTGAACTCAGATCTTCATGCTTGTGAAGCAAGCATTTTGCCAACTGAACTACCTTCCAGGACCTCATTTTTGTTTGTTGTCGATAGCAAGTTGCCATGAACAGCCACTTGAGACAACTCTTCTTGAACTAAGTCATAACTAGGATAGGTCTACCATCTTAACTAAGGTCTCTTCTTCAGGCCTTAAGACAACACATCAACTAAGAAGGGCTTGCCTCTGTAACTCCTCAGTTATGGAGTTTGTTTCCTTGCTATCGGATTCATGGCATGCAGATTCACTTCTTCGGAATCTGCTGTTGCCTTGGAGACCTCCTAGTGGGTCACTAGAAAGAAAGAGTGCCACATGGCTTCATGCAATCACTGGAGTTACATCCCATTCCTGTGGTTAGAGGTGAGCCATGGGTTCTCCCTACTTGCCCTGCACACAGGTCAGTGTCTGGAAGCAGAGATCATGGGGCACACTGTAGACCACCTGGGACCACACCCTTTTATTTTATCCTCCCTCCCAAGGAACAGCATGAAGAAGACCTGAGCCCTCTGCGATGGCCAAAAAGTCACAGAGTCAGCTTTTGATAAAGTGGAGAGATATTTTACAAACATGCACCCTGACACCAAGACAAAATAAATCTAGCTCTTTTCCCTAGTGGCTAATGGCATGAGAAGTTGACATCCTGAAATCATGGCTTCGAAAGCCCCATTCCCAGCTCAGTAGCTCTTTGACCTGCTTTGGTCTCAACTCCTATCTTTAAGATAGGAATAGTGGTATCTCCCTCTGTGAATATTGTGAGAATTAAATTAGAAGAGACAAATAAAGCACTTGGGATAAGTTTGGTGTAGAAGTGTTTAATAAATGGTCACTTTGGTATGCAGGTAAGAGCCCAGGGGTGTCTCAAGCAAGGGTCAGTTTTTGCTGTGTTCTAAACACAGAAAACTGAATTGCCAGAGATGGGCTTCCCTTCTGAGGCTCTGGAGGGTTGAACCTCAGGCATCCCACAAAACTGTTGGTCTATCAAACCTCCTGGGTGGCTCTAACAGGGCTCTCTAGCCCAACTTCTCCCTTGTCTTCATCTATAAAACCTGATTTTGTCATGTTGGGTCCTCGCAGATCTCCAAACTTCATAATAGCTTGGCTGAGGGAGGACAGAGTGTCTACCTACCCTGTTCAGGCTCATAGTCCATAGGCCAAAGCAAGTGAGTGACCCAGACTACTTCAAGGAGGACAGGGAAGAGCCACTATGTCATAAACTCAGAAGTGTAACATCTGGTGGCAGCATGATGTCTACTACAAAGCCAAATGACAAGCAGGTATTTTTAGGAGAGCAAATGAACGTGTTCTTGCAGAGAATGGAGTGCTGCTGAGCTCTGTCACCTCTGTACAGTAACTTCTTTCTCATGTAATGTATCTCTGCAAAAATCCCCAGAAACACAGCAACACATCTATTTAAGAAAACTAAGTTGTCAAATGATGCAGAAGAAATTGGGGAATTTTAAAAAATGAGGCATGGGTAGCAGGAAGATTAAACTGTTCATCTTCGGTTGTAGGATTGCTGAGAAAACTCACTGTAAGAATCTACAAAGGTCATATATTAAAGTTTGGATAGCTTCACAAATGTTTTGTCCTTGAACTTGCATAGTATTCTGCTATTTTTCCAAGCAAATTTCAGAGTTTTACTATGCATCATCTGGCGCTTTCAGTGTGATAGCAACTATTTCATTTGTTGGAGTAATCTTTCTGTTTTTCTTTTTCTTTTCTTCTCCTCCTCCCTCTTTCTTCTTCCTTAATGTTTTTAATTTGAGGCAAAATCTTGCCATAAAGCCCAATCCATCATTGAACTCTTGATCCCAAGTGCTGGCATTGGAGACCCATGCCACCATCCGTGGTTTCAGTTTTTGATAACAAAACACCTGAGGCAGGATGTCTTTATAAAGAAAAGATTTATTTTTCTCATATTTCTGGCTTTAGCAGTTGCTCAGGTCTGGTGATGGCATCACCAGTCATGGCAGCTGAATGTATGAGAATAAATTACATACTGAGCAGGAGGCCAAACAAGGAAAAAGGACCAGTCAGTCATTCCCACTAAATCCCACCTCTTAAAAGTCCTACCACCCCTTAACATCACCACACTAGAGACCAAGTTGCCAAACACACAAAACTTTGTGAGACACACTCCAGCTGTACCCAAATCCATGTATTAACTTCATTCAACAAATTGGGGCATATTTTAAAGGCAAAGGAGAGAACCACTATATCACTCTAACATCCTTGCTTTACTTTGTGACAGTGTTGGAACTCATCAACTCCATGCCTTAAGCAGATGCTTAATCTTGCTGCTCTCAAGTGTGTGCCAGCTGTAGTCACATGGTTACTGTGAGGTATAAATGAGTTCTGTATGTAAAACCCCCACTCTAATCCTTGGCGATGAGTACCCACTTGACGAGCATTCCCCTTACCCCGAATCTCTTCTCACTGGCATGATCTGGCTGGGAAACCTTGCTAAGAGTTTTGTGTCTCTGATCCCTTTGTCCCCATTCACCACTGTCACCTCCTGTGTCAGCTTCCTAACTTTCTTTGACTTTCTTTTGGGGGATAAACCTTGAACTTGCAGCCATCCTCCTGCCTCTACCTCTCAGGTGCTGGCATTACGGGTATGTATCGCCTTGCCCAGCTTCTAAACTTTTTGTTTTTAGTAGCATATGGTTTTACTACTGCGAATCCTCCTTGTAAATGAGACGTTCAGTGGGCGTCACTACACTCCATTGTGTGTAACCATCGGCATCTTCCATCTCCAGAGTGCTTGTCACCTTTCCCAGGTGAGACCCTGCGCCCACTAAACACTAATGCCTCTATTCCCTTCTCCTCTCCTCCTGTTACTTTTGTGTGTGTGTCTAAGAACTTGACTATTCTGGCCATCCTATAAAAGCGAAACCATACAGTATTGATCCTTCTATGGTTGACTTATTCAGCTTAGCGGAATGTCAAGACGTATGCATGTTGCGTCACAATGAGAATGCCCTTTCTTTCTAGGGTTGACTTATGTCCC